ATTAACACATGATTCTAAAGGATTTTTAAAGTGATGTAAGAGGTTAAAGGCCACTGTGCTTAGCAACCCTTAAAGGGCAGGTAAAATGTTTCCTTTTGAAAGTTTAAAATATTTCAGCATTACGATAGTTCTTGTAAGTGATTTTATTTTCTAATAAAAAGTACTACACGGTATAAAATTAAACAGATGCCAAGCTTATCAGACCATCTAGATTTCCAGAAGCAAATACAATGAAATCATCACAATAGATTTTGAGCAATGAAAATGGGTTCTCCAGCAGCTGGGTTCCAAGTCTCACGGGCTTCACTAATCTCAACCTAGAGCCTCTTTACTGTTCAGACATGACTGTGTTATCTGAGGTTTCCACAAACAGCTGTTTAGAAATAACAACCATAAAATACATATACTTTATCACAATGTGTAATTCAATATTTTGTGATTTATTTTATTGGTCTTTCTCACTCGTAGTAAGTTCTACTGTAAACGTAGAACCCCCCCCCACACACACACTATGTATATACTATAGAACTAACTTTGTTTTCCCTTTATAGCTAGCTCTTAATGATTAACTAAGATCGTATCAAAAGTAGACACACACACACACTATGTATATACTATAGAACTTTGTTTTCCCTTTATAGCTAGCTCTTAATGATTAACTAAGATCGTATCAAAAGTAGAATCCCATCTCACCCCATCCTGTCCCATCTCATACGTCTCTCAAAGCAGGAAGCAGCTGTCCATCACACTTGAAGCCATCCTACATCCTGTATACATCTCTCAAAGCATCCTGTTTTGCCTGATACATTTACCTACACAAACCCCAGCCCTCAGTTGATCTGGGAGGCAGTTGGGACTTTGCCCTCTGTCTCCCAGTCGACATCTTCCAAAATAAATCTTTTAAGTTCTGTCTTGCAGGTGTGATTGGCAATCCTACAGCAGTGAGCACTCAGACCCACACTGGTACGGGATTCCCTGACTAAGTCAGCCTCTCACATTTTGGCTGACAGTGAAGGGGGAATCCTACAGGACTCATTCATAACCACTATCAGAGCAGTGATGGTTTCTGATATGCTAACCACAGTCTCTCCGGTGCATGGCACAGGGGCTCGGCGCAACAGGCAAAAGAAGACATTTGTTGAAAAAATGAGGGAATAAGTAAATAAACAAATAAATAAAAATAATGCATTGTCTAGATTAGAGAACAACCTTTCAGGTTATCTGATTCTGGTTCTACAGTGGCTCTGAAACCTTCATTGCCTTTGAGCTGTTTTATAATTCTGTAAATTGCAGATAACTGATAGGATTACAAAATAATGTTAAGTCTTAAACTGTGAAGGGTCTGAGATGTTACCCTACTCGCAAGTTAACAAGTTATCTTGTCCCATGTACAGATTATATCTATCTATCTGTCTGTCTGTCTATACTAACAGACCCAGGGAACTTCTCGATCAGGGACCATTTACTCAGGGAGAAACTTAGCAACATGGATTCCTCACACCCCAATTTCCCATGGGCTGATGCAGTGAGTGCCAGATGTGCCTGTGCATGCTGAAGTTTCACCAGAAGAGACGAACCCCAAAATTATGAGGCTTGGAGTTTACAGAGGGTGGTTGGCACATCTTTTCCTCCTCCCTCCACAGAGGGAGAGAGGGACTTGGGCTCTGGAATGTAACAAACCTTCTCTGAGAAGAGAAGGTACAATTCCTTAGGTTTTTGTTTCTTTTAGAAAGCAGGCAAATGCATCTGGGGAAGATAGCCATTAAATATTTCCAGAGCAATTCATGATCTCCAAATTCCAAGACATCAAGACATAATTACTGTTAATTATCCTTTAACCTAGGTGGCCAGGATTTTTCTTTTTTTTTTTTTCTTTTGCTTAGAAAGAATGGCATTGCTTCCTTACAACAAGCAATTCTTATCTATAGACATGCAACTCCTACCTGTAGAGATTCTACTGACTTCTCTCTTTCACTGCCAAAGAAACCAGACCTGCCTCCATTTGCACATTCATTTCAATATTCCTGAAGTATAGGTGTGTCCGTTTTTGGATTCTACTTTTAATTGGTTGTAACATCTTATCAATTTCCTCATTAAGGATGTATTGAACAAAATCTTTAAAAATGTGTGTTTTTTAGCTTTTATATCTGAGGAGAGTCATGAACTTTATTTTTTTTTTAAATAATCCTTTACTAAATGCAATGAGAGATATAGGGT